GGGCTACATCTGAGTATTTCGCAGTTTGCCACTGTGCGCAGTGTGTGCACCGCACTTGAGGGCTACATCTGAGTATTTCGCAGTTTGCCACTGTGTGCAGTGTGCACACCACTCTTGAAAGCCATATCTAAGTCTTTTTGCTGTTTGCGACTGTGTGCCAGTCCGCATCACTCTTGAAAGCCGTATTTGAGTCTTTTCGCTGTTTGCAACTGTGCGCCAATGCGCACCACTCTTGAAAGCCATATCCGAGTGTGCGCCAGTGCGCACCACTCTTAAGAGCCATTTCTGAACAGTGCTATTCGCAAGGACCATTTTCTGAACTATGTGTTATTCTCAACTGTGCGCAGAGTGTGCACCTTGATTGAGGGCCATTTTTTGAATTTTGTGTTCTTCTCAACTGTGCGCAGAGTGCGCACCTTGAATGAGGGCCATTTTTTGAACTTTGTGCTATTCTCAACTGTGCGCAAAGTGCGCACCTTGATTAAGGACCATTTTCCAAACTTTGTGCTATTCCCAACTATGCGCCGAGTACGCACCTTGATTGAGGGCCATTTCTGAATTTTGTGTTGAGTGCGCACCTCGATTAAGGGTCATTTTCTGGACTTTGTGTTATTCACAACTGTGTCATAAGCGCACCATATTTGAGAACCATTTTCAAGTGTGCACTATATCTGAGGTCCGATTTTGAGTCTGCACACGTACTATTGACCAACTCTCAATTGATGACAATACTGGTACGGCCCTATGAGAAGGCCAAGTTTTGCACGCGGTAAACACCTTTGACTGAGTACAATAATTACAAGCAATAGGATACTGGACCTATGCAAAGATCGATTATCATTTGATCAACAGGTTGAGCATAAGATATTATTATTTAAGTGTGTGCCAGTGCGCGCCCAGATCAGATATTTAAGTGTGCGTCAGTGCGCGCCAAGATCAGATTTATTATTTTTAAGTGCGTACCCGCGCGCGCCCAGACCAGATATTATTTTCAGTGCGCGCCCGCGCGTGCCCAGACTAGATATTATTTTTTTGTGCGCGCCCGAGCGTCCAGACCAAATATTATAAGTATGTGCCCATGCGGGCCCAAGCTTGGCACTGCAGTTAGAGTGCGCGCCCATGCACGCCCAAGCTTGGCACTGCAGTTAGAGTGCGCGCCCATGAGCGCCCAAGCTTGGCATTGCGGTTAGAGTGCGCGCCCATGCACGCCCAGGCAAGATATTGCAGTTAGAGTGCGCGCCCATGCGCGCCCAACCTCGGCTTTGCAGTTAGAGTGCGCGCTCATGTGTGCCCAAGCTTGACATTGCAGTTAGAGTGCGCGCCCATGCGCGCCCAAGCTTGGCATCACAGTTAGAGTGCGCGCCCATGCGCGCCCAAGCTTGACATTGCAGTTAGAGTACGCGCCCATGCGCGCTCTAGCTCGGCATAGCAGTTAGAGTGAGCGCCCATGTGCGCCCAGGCTAGATACTCTTGTTTGAGTGCGAGCCCTTGTGCGCCTGAGCATAGGATTGCTAACCGAGATGATTTGCCATCACGCACCCGTTGATTTATTCCTTTGCTGATCAGCAACACCTCATGCACATGATATTTTTTCCCTCGCACAGGGAGCATTGGCAGTCCAGCCCCTGCACAGATGACCTGGCTCAGTCTAGCCCCAGTACACTCAACATTTGTGACTGGTCCCCGTGCATGAGATCTTCTACTGATCAGTTGCTGCTCAGCCGGGCCCTTCAGGCGGGCTCATCTACCGAGATTGGGCCCATTCAGGCGGGTCTTATATTGAGTTGCTGTTCAGTCGGGCCCATTCAGGCGGGCCTTATATTGAGTTGTTGTTCAGCCGGGCCCATTCAGGCGGGCCTTATATCGAGTTGCTGTTCATCCGGGCCCATTCAGGCCGTTCAGACAGGCCTCGACATTGAGTTGCTGATTGCTATCCTGGCAGGTCTTGGAGGGAGTATCTGCATTAGTGAGAGCGTGCATTCCATCTAAGCTGGCCCAACGTCGTGAGACTACCCCTAAGTGGGGTAGATTGATTGAGAGGTTCTGCTACAAATATGTGGGACATCAGAGTTTCACTATCAGGGCTAATGAGTCCTCGACTTCGAGACACACGCTCGTGATCACCTACTCGGTGAAGGGGGCAGAGACGGGAGTGAAGGGCACCACATACGACAGGATTGCAGATTACATATTTCGCAGGGAGAGCTATTCGAGGGACAACTGGCTACACGTGTTTCCTCGCGTACCTTCAGCACCTGGGGTGTGCTCTTCGATTTTGGCGGATGCAACCCCAAGCCCCTTAGTGAGTCTCGCAGCAAGGACAAGAGGCGGAAGGACGACCGGATCCAGAGAGAGAGAACCAAATCCGGAGTCCCAATCACTACATGTGTCCCGAAATCAGAGACAGATGAGTCGGATTTGGAGCCCTGCTCTGTGAGTGACCTTGATCTTGGCGATTATTTCGACTGGGACACTCACAGTGGTTGAGTTTGTGGACAGCGACAGGAGCGCTGGAGACTAGTGAGCGGAGACGTCGGAGGGCGACATTGAGGAGGATCACACATCTTCTTGCACGGTATCTTCTTGAGGGTGATTGACTCCTACATGTCAGACGACCCTAGGTCTGACACAGTTATTGGTCCCCCAAGAAGGGAGGGTCCGGTCCCATACCTCGGAGATGGCTATAGTCATTTGGTCGGGACAGACTTTGCTATGCAAGCTTATCGAAAGCCTCTTTACGGAGATCGTTTTCTCGAGGTTTCCTACATCTACTCTGGTTGGAGAGGACGTATTGAGATATTGATTGGAGCTTCAGGCGATATCATTCTTGCGGAGGAGCTTTATCTCAGGAGCGTCGTAGACGAGGAGATGGCTAGATGCATGGCCTATATCTGCAAGATTGATCCAGCAGCGCCTCTCGACATCAGCTACGTGGTTCCAGAGTCGATAGCCACGCGAGTTCTCAATGACGAGGCGCCATATATGGAGTCCCAGACGACAGCATTTACTCACGAGGGGGTACCGCTTATTATCATTGATTGAGGTTCTCTCTTTTCAGTCACTATGATGTTTTACGACATTATTATCTATTAGTGACTGCAACCCTCCGAGGGCTGCTCCCTGCATACACTGTGTACTACTCTTCAGTCTCGTATCTCTGGTCATACTCTTGAAAAGTCTGGTTTCTGGTCTTCTCATTTTTTCAGTATCAATTGCTCTATGATGCATGTATGTTATTTTCCTCCTTACTTTACACAGGTTACACTCAAGGCAGCTTGAAGGACTCCTGAATGATAGGGTCTCCGGTGACCTTGGGTCTATCCTTTATACAGGGTCAGGTGCAGGCGATAAACCCGAACGGCTCACTCTAAGCCGTGTCGCCGCTGGCAGGAGGGATAACCCTGACTACTCAGCTGTATGACAAAGTGTGACTTCCTTTAAATACACCTCAATTTTTATACCTATCAAAATCCTGCGTGACAGCCTGCCAGTCCTCCAACCCACTGAGCTCGATCCGGGGAAGGATATCTAACCAGACCCTTGAAGAAGTGGGGGCGTGACAATGTGTCCCATTTTCCGACTTTTATTATTTGGACCCACTTGGTCCCCGGTAACATCCCGGATGGTGTCTCATTTTTATTTTTGGCCCCCCTTGCCCTTGGTGGTCCCATCATTTCTACATGCGTGCCGATTTTTCTAGGCCGTGAAATCTCATCTCACGGTTGCCGTTTACCGTCTCCCATCCTGAAATCGCTCCTTTCTAGCCTTTTGGGCTTGCCGTGGCTCATTTTCTCTTAGCCTAGGCATCCCCATGCAGTCTGTTATTTCGCGGACTGCAGTCATGGCCATTCTTCTAGTCCCAAAGCCCCACAACTTGCCCCATGCTGAAAGAAAATGAAGTGTTAAATTTCTGAGTGCATCCGGGCTTGATTTTGGCTCCGGATGCACCTAAAACATGTGTTTTCCCCTCCCCATGCAGTCCGTTGCAACTCGGACTGCAATGGGGGTCAATTCCATAGCCCCAATGCCCCACATCTAGCCCTTACTTGAAAGAAAAAGAAACGGCCAACTCCCAAGTGAATCCGGACTTGATTTTGGCTCCGGATGCACCCAAAACATGTGTTTCTCCTCCCCAATGTAATCCGTTTTATTTCGGTTGCATAGGGCCTTGGTTTTCTTTGATTTTCTCTGCAAAAATCAAAGTCCTTTGTAACCGCCATATTCCACAATGAACCTCGTCACGCATGAATCTCCCCAAGTGGCCGTTTTTTACCATTAAGGCCTTTTTCTCTTTTCTTTTCTTTTCTCTTTTTCTTTCCTTTTCTTTTGCCTTCTTTCTTGGACAGTAGGGACCTACCAATCCCTACTTGTGGCAGTCCCTACTAACGGCCAACTCACTCACTCCCTCTCACTCTTTTTGTCTTATTCTCTCACATTTTCTTTTCTTTTCTCTCTTTTTTCTAGCATGCAAAGTGTCAAGTGGCCGTTAAGGCCCTTTTTTAGCCTCTTCCTCTTACTTTTGGCCCTCCCTGTACGCAAGGTGCAGTCCGTTATATCTCGGACTGTAATGATGGCCTTCTCATGCCCATGGGAGCTTTCTATTACTCCTATTTTTCTCCCACATTGGCCCCTCCTACTCCGATTTTCTCCCAGAGGCCTATTTTTCACATGAGGTCTCGTTTGACTCCATTTTTCTTGAGGGAGGCTAATCCGAGATTTTTCGGATTGCTCCCATGCCTCCCACTTCAAGTTTCTTTACTTTTTTTTTTCCTTTTGGCCTTCTCGTCTGCTACCGCTAGTGCTTGCACTAGTGGTGTTAATATTCTTGGCCTCAAGATGTCGATCTTGACGGTGCACCTTGCCTTTATTATTTTCCCTTATGTGGTGCCGCCGTTTCTTCTTGGGATTTTCACATGTCCCCGCCATCCGTCCCGTCGGTGGTCCCCGACACTTAGTCCCGCCGACGGTCCCCGACACAATTCTGTCGGCGGTCCCCGACATTTAGTCCCGCGGGTGATCCCCGACACATTTTGCCCCGGATGCCATTAATTTACCTTAGTCCTACGTGGCCCCGGGTGCCTCTCCCCGAGGTGTCCCACGTTCCTTGGGCGTTTTTTGCCCCGCAGTGACCCCTCTCCCTTGTCTTTTATCGCGCCTTGCGCGCGCCGATTTCTTTGGTCATGGGCCTCCACTCCGAGGCTCTTGTAGGTGGCCCCTACGTTGGCCCCTTAGTCTAGCTTCCCACGGCCCTGGGGTCTCTCGACTTCCTCATTCTTTTGTCGCTGTCGTGCTGCGCTTGCTGGTTCAAGGGCCCTTTGGCCTTAGTCTTGTTGCACTCCAACGGTCCTCCGAGCCTTAGTCTTGTTGCACTCCAACGGCCCTCCCAAGTGTTCTTGCGCTCACTCGCTCGTCGTTGCTGGTTTTCTCCCTCTGCGGTTTTCTCCTCAGATCATTACTCCCTCCTGCGGCTTAATCCTTCGTCCTTTCTCTCTCTTTCCTCCTTACTCCAGATTTCGCTGTCGTGCAAAATTTGTTTATATTCAATCTCTCGAGTAATGGGAAGTTATTCGGGACCCACATGTCCCGACAACGTTCATCGGCAGTGTAGTTTATCTCGGCAGACAGTAGCTGACGGGAGTAGAAGACAATCGGGCAATCCCCAACACGAGCCTCGACAAGTCCATCCTCCGCGATGGTCGGGAAGTAAGTAACGAGAGGACTGTCAGTGGCGGGAAGTGGTGAGAGGGTAGACGTCAGTCGAAAAGCAGTGTCAGCAGGAAAGGGGGGGGAAGGAGGAATATGGGGATAAGATGAATCCTAAGGAGAGGGAAACGCCTGAGAGAGGACAGCTCCTACTGCAAAATCTAACGCATCGGTGGTGACGATAAAGGGGCGATCAAAATCGGGGAGGCAAAGAACCGACGCACACGTCACCGCCTTCTTGAGGGCGAGAAAGGCGTCCTCGCATAGGGGTGTCCAAAAAGGACGTAAGAATACCTAGCGTATCCCCGGATGAAATTACTATAGTAACTAGTGAGGCCTAGAAAACTGCGAAGCTGCTTGGCAGATGTGGGGACGGGCCACTCTACAATAGCAGTGATCTTCGTGTCGTCCATGTGGAGACCCTGGTCAGCCACATGGTGTCCTAGGAAGTCCACTTTGCTCTGAGCAAAGCGGCACTTACTAAGCTTGGCATAGAAGCCATGCTTTCGTACGCGCTGTAGGACATAGTGGAGGTGTCTGAGATGGTCTTCTAAGGTACGACTATAGACCAGGATGTCGTCCAGGTATACGAGAATGTATTCTTCGAGGATGTCCCTGAAAATGTCGTTCATCGCCGTCTGGAAGGTGGCCGGTGCATTGGTGAGGCCGAATAGCATCACCGAGAACTCGTAGTGGCTGAAGCGCGATCGAAAGGCAGTCTTTGGCTGGTCCTCTGTAGCTACGCGGATCTGGTGGTAACACAGCTCATCCCTGCGCGGCATGGGATAACTCTTCTTAACCATGTAATGGTTAAGGCCGCGGTTGTTGATGCAAAGGCGGAGAGTTCCGTCCGTTTTGCGAGCAAAGAGGACGGGTGCACCCCAAGGGGAGTTACTGGGTTTAATGAAACCCAGTCGAAGGAGCTCCTCAAGCTGGCACTCGAGTTCCATCGCCTCTGGAATCGAGAGTCGGTACGGTGCCTGATGGTGAACATGATAGTCAGGCACGAGCTAGATTGAATGCTCAACACCGCGCATCGGAGGGATCCCACTATATGAGAAATAAGGGGGGAATACGTCGCGGTAGTCTCGAATAAGGTTGCAAACGGAGGGCTCTAAGTCTGTCGTGAACCGTGTGAGTTCCTCGACGTCTGCATCGGCACGAGACGTATGTGTGGGCTCGACAGTCGACGACGCAGGGGTCTGGGACGTGGAGGGGGTATCCGCAAGCTGATGGGTGGACGTAGACGTATGTGTGGCCTCGACAGTCGACGACGCAGGGGTCTGGGACGTGGAGGGGGTATCCCGCAAGCTGATGGGTGGACGTAGAGATGGGAGCCGCGAAGATGGAGGAAGGGTCAGGGGGATCCGGCTCTAATGAGATAAGCTTAACCTCTGGACAAAGTGGATCAGCGAAGAAGATCCATTACGTTCACTGAGTAGAACGTGACATCCTCCTATCGTAGGAAGTGAGCAAATTGACGAGGAGAAGTGAGGCGATATCTGGGTCGGACCCAGAGGGACAAGGGTCCTGGGGAGGTAGGTGTGGAGGGGTGTCGCCCGTGGTTCCAATGAAGGGGACTTGATGGGTTTGACCACACTTCGTTTTGAGAACGAGTGTCTTAGTCGCCCATTCGGCCTTCGTGCCACGGAACCGGCGAGACCACATAGTGCCAAGGATAAAGTCCTACCCAGTCTCCAGCACGTCGAAGTATGCGGAGGAATGGTAGCGCCGAGGCGCCTCGGTACTATCCGATGGCTGGAGGGTGAGGGAGAAGTGGAGATCAAGGACCGTCTGATCGAAGAAGTGTTGCGTCTTGTTATCTCCGAGGGTAACGGAGATAGGAGAGACCCGGAGGTAGCTAGGCGAGCTTCCTCAACCACTCGAGGGTGAACGAAATCTCCCTGCGAGTCCGAGTCCCACAAAACACGGTACATCCTCGTAGATGTCCCTAGGCGAATAGGGATGATGGGGAGAGTGCGACCAGGGTCAGAAAGCAGAGCGAGAAGACGACGCGGGACGTTTACGTGTCTCGTCAATCGCTCCTGGGGAGCCTGAAGGATGCTCAAATCCAGGAGAGATTACACAATGTCATCGCGAGTCGCCAGCTGGGCACTGCAACGAGTTGTGCGAATGGCGCGACAAGTCGGAAGTCTCGAAGGGGAAGGACTAGATGCGGCGGTCTGCTGTGGGGCAGGCGGTACCTCGACAAACGGCGGGGCAGAGGGAACTGCGTCTGTCGTGTCCTGAGAATCCTCTGGTGGGGTAGCCAAAGGGGCAAATAGCGACTCGGTGGTCGGGAAGCCGGCTACGCGCGAGGCCTGAACGGTACACTGCACCGTGGCTAGCTTAGTGGGGCGGGCTGGCGGGGTGGGGCCGAGGGGGGACTGAGATCCGCGCTCACGAGAAATGTCAGCATAGTGCCGATCGAGGGCGGCATGGAGTGGACACCGTGAGGAGGTGTCCATCCTAGCGGCAACGAAGGCAATGAGTCGAGCCTCGAGGGCGGCGCGCTCCTTAGGAGATAGAGCTCTGCGAGGAACAAAACCCTGCGGGAGGTCGATCTGAGGAGCCGTGATCGTGCGAGCGCCAACCTGTGCAACCCGAGTGCGCACACGACCCATGGCGGACATGGCCATCTGCAGGCGCTCGGCGACCGCAATAGTGTCGCCATCCAAGTGATACTGGATGACGTCTCGAAGCTCGATGTCCTCGGGGGCATCCCCAAGGGTAGGGTCAAGCTCGGTCGAGGCGTCCTCGCCGTACTCTAGAGAACTGTAGCGCCGAGAGAGTGGCGCTCCGGGTCGAGTTGGTCGGCGAAAGCGGCTGGTGAAGGAGGATCGACCACGCGTGGTGCCGCGTGACTGGGTGGCGCCGGAGGTGGCTCGCGAAGAAGATGAGGTGTCGGAGAAGCGACTCCGATTCTTCTGGTACTGTCGAGCAGCCTCATAGGCCTGCTCGGAGAAGGCGAAGCTCTGTAGCCAGAGCTCGATGCGGTAGTCACTCGGGAGACTGACTACGAACCTGTTGGTCAAAAGGACCTCAGGTAGGAGTGCCTCATCGCAAATGAGGCGGGCATCATGAAACACTCTAATGTGATGCTCACGATCGGCTGGTGCGGAGGACCCGCACCACTGCATCTGGGTGACTCGATCTAAGGCGTCAATCGCATCGTGGAGAGTGCCGTAGTGGTCATGGAGGAACGCGGTGAAATCCGCGAGAGTGGGATCCTCACCTGAGGGAGTACAATAGGAATAATAGTTCTCCTATGCGGAGAACGCGCTGCCTCGCAATTTAGTTGCGAGCGCGGAGCACCACAACTCCTGACGAGTGTCAGTTAGTGGCAGCACTCGTATGGCAGCCTGCAACTAGTGCAACACACGCATACTACCATCGAAGTCGGGTATGTCCGACACACACACAAGGGTGGGACCGCTGTGCTGACGGCAAGGGGAGAGAGGTCGAGGGGCCTGCACTGCGGCGGCAGATGTCGAGGCCGGTGCAGACGTGGAAGTGGCAACAGGCTGAGAGCAGCAGGTGGACGGTCCAGCAGACGTGGAGGCAACAGCCGCAGCCAATTGTGACGGAGTAGCGAGGTAGTAGGGTAAAGGGGGGGGAACCAGTCGACGAAAACGAGCCGGCAAGACAGAAGTCAGAGGGGCGGTATAAGAAGAAGAGGGGTGAGCAGCCTGTGAAGGGTGAGGTTGTCTCACGGAGAGAATCTCCGCCTGGAGTTGCGCCACGGTGGCCTATAGGGTAGCCGCTCTCTGGGTGCACGGGGTCGGAGGTGGAGGAGGCGGCGAGAGTACCCTAGCGGGAGGAGGAAGAACTCCGGACCGTAATGCCGCGACCGGTGCAGGAAGCTGGGAAGCAGCACCGGGGTGGGTAGAGGAAACGGCCTGGCCAGATACCGGTATCTGGGAGACAGTACCTGCGACAATGGCTGAAGCGGTAGGGGCGGCGGGAGCCAATGGATGTGCCGCAATAGACGGTATGGTCCGAGTGGCAGCAGCACTCACCACTGCGGCGGGGGAGTGTTGGACCTGGCCCGTGGAGGAGGACGAGCCGCCACGTCTCCGTCCCTGGAGTCGTGGAGATTCGGACCTCGAGCCGATAGGGGATGGGGTCTGAGAGCGGTGGGGAGAGCGATGAGGAGAACCCTTGAGGCGGTGAACTTCAAGGGCGAGCGCATTGACTTGCCTCTCCAAGGGTGCAAGCGCATCGAGTCACGCTTGCAGAGGTGCAAGGATAGGGGTCCACAACGTGCTAACCCTGGATCGTCGGGTGGGTGGACGCCTGAGAGGTGGACGGCGCCTTGACAATCTCCTCAGCTGTAGCTTTGTCCGTGGGCGGTGGAGAGAGGGAGGTAGACATGGTGGGAGGTGGGGAGAGAGATGGGTTGTGGTATGGGGACAGGGGACCACCGGTGAGAGGGAGGGACCGCGAAAGCGGAGTGAGTCGTCTGTCGGCTCGCCCCGTGACCAGCGGGTCGCGCGTGAGATGGTGGCGCGAATCCGGTCAAGGGGAGAGGAGCTGTTCGGGTCCAAGGTGCCCGATGGGAGGAGGCGGGGGAGTAGGGGGGTTAGGGGGGTTAGGAGAACCCTAAACCTTAGAAAAACCCTCAGAAAACCCTAATCGGGGTTCGTGTGGTCAGGGGAGGGTAACGATGACCTAATCAAGAAAAAAAAATAATAACCATGGAGGGGAGGGGGAGAGAAAATAAAATAAACAATAAAATTTTGAGATAAAAATAATAAAAAATAAATAATAAAAACAAAGAAAGAAAGAAATAGGCAAAAGGTGAGAAGAGAAAGGACACTTATTTTTTTACAATTTTTGGCAGCATTTTCCTACCCCAGCGAGGTAACAAAGGTGCAAAGAGGAAGGAGAGACGAAGAGAAGCACACTAAGTTTTACAATGCCTCAAATGATAATTTTCAAAAAAATAAATAAATAAATAAGTATAGAAGGGGATGAAGAGAAACTAAGTGTTGTTTTTTTTCAAAAAATTTGGCAGCATTTCGTTACCCCCATGGGGTTGAAGTGTGCCGTCAAGAAGAAAGACCAAGTGAAATTAGAAAATTTTTGCCAGCACCTCGCTACCCCCAAGGGGTCAAAATGTGCTGAAAAGACCAAGTAAATGTGAGGATCTGTGTCCTCGGCAGGCCTAAGGGGCCCCGGTTGCAGTGGTGCCCGTCCTAAGTGAAGGCAGGCCTAACTTGTCACAAGAGGCCTTTAACTGTCAATTTCATATTTGGGGTCCAGGCAGTTGCGACGCGCCAGTTGGTTGAGAGAAACGCAGGCCGAGCAAGAAAGACATTTCCAAGGCCTACCGGGCTTTTCGAAAGAATGCAGGCCCTGGGCGTGATTCACAGCCTCATACACTGAAAGTTGGGACGCCCAACCGAACACGGCCCAGTAGCTGCAGCGCTCCAGAAGCTTCTGGGCCCAGGCCAGGACAGCAAGGCTGCACGAGCAGGCTAACTCTTCTTTCCATAAAGGAAAGAGCTCTCCCCAGGCAGCCTCATTCGGTCACTTGCTGGCTGGCAGCAGTGCTGCTGGAGTGATAGCTCGCGGGCTGGCTGCTGGCATTGGAGCAAGAGGCTGCGCACGTGCGGTCGTGTGTTGAAGCAGGGCGCTGCTGAGGGCAGCGCCATAGCCAGCCTTCATAGCGGGCTGGGCTTGGATGTAGAGTGAGGCGCAAGGGTGGTCTTCGGGTGTAAGAGAGGACATGCGTGGGTGTAAAGTCAGGGAATGATGATGATGTGATGTGAGGGCACATACCTTGTATTGGCGATGGTCTGCATTTGGGCGACATCTTCAAGTACTTCGGGTTGCCGCTGATGTCAACAGTTGCATTGTCTATTAGTAGGCTGATCGTAGCTGTGTAGGAGTAGGCTGGGCGCTGAGCGCCAAGTAGGAGTGTGAAGGGACTGGACTCTTGTGTTGTGGCGGAGAGAGGAACTCTCCTTGACATTGTTTTCGGTACTACGGACCTCCATCGGTGTATTATTGGTGCAATGCTGCTCTCTGGACACAGTGTGACTATCTSGCTTTCAATGTGATGATGTAATCTGGAATTTGTCATCTCGCTGTTGCTTATTTTMCTTGCAATTTGGTATCGGAGCTGGTTCATATTGYGCTWMATTGGTTCTTCGCAATAGCTGTTYGGTGCTTCGCATGAGGTGTGGGGCAGTGATAAGGCTTGGGCGTTGAACGAAGGGCGGCCCAGGGTCGTGTGGGCGCGCCAGGAAGCTATGTGGTGACATAAGGGATGTATCTTGGATGATGAGAGCTCACTGATGTGGCATATTAAGCCGAGGTGGAACCGCATTCTGTTGTTGGTTGTGCCAGGGCAAAGACCGGTCATCATAATTGCACATCAGGTTGCCGGTGAGAAAATTTGTGGTTGGCGGCAGCATTATGAGGTACGTTGCTCTCTTCCTTATCTACCCTCTTCATTGCTTCTTACCGTGAGGAAGTGAGTTTTGTCTTATCTACCTTCTCGATGTGAGGTGTCGCGAGCGCTCAACCTTGAGAGTCGACATTCTTCCTGGGCAGCAAGCTGGTGGGAGACGGGCGAAGCCTCTGAAGGGCCCTCGACGAAGCACTCGGGTCACGGTCACCATGCCAACCCGCTGGGACTAGTACACGCATGCTTTGCCGCAAGTCCTTGGTGCTGCTGCTTGCGCAATAGAGGTCATGCATGCCAACCCTTTGACAGACGCTTACCAGACCGTCTTTAAATATTTCTGGCGGGGACTCGGTGTTGACTCTGGCTGTGATCGTCGTCCTGTCTGCGACGTTAAATAATTATTGAGGAGTTACGTGGGATCTCCTTAAATGCCTCCTGATCAGCCAGATCAAACCGGGTGTAAGGCTCGTTGCATGCGAGGGTAAATAGTGTGCAAGGGCTGGCAGGTTCGGCGTTGACTTGGGGCACAGGGGTGGGCCGGATTGCACACCTTCAGACACGCTGCTACAGTCGTCCACTAACGACTCCTCCTCACTTGTGCTTGCATCACTCATGAGCTACAGTGTGTGTGATCTAAACTAGAATCCACACTGAATCCTACCTTAGCCTGACACACAACCGAGTATAATACACAACTGTTTTCGGTCGGCCTGAACAGAAACAGTTAGGTGATGTAGCAACAACTAATGTCAGATCCTACAGGAAATATCATATCTATTTTTAGATTACCCTAGAACAGATTGCAATGCAGCAAAGAACTAATCTGTCTGTAGTTGTTCGTCAGTTGTTAGTCAAGTCTGTAGTTAACAACTAGATGGAGTTACGTCCAGGAGACGAGAGGAGATTGCGGAGAGAGGCTAGAGAGAGAGCAGCAGCAAGGAGAGTGAGGGTGGCTGAGGATAGTGCCAGGACTAGAACTATAGCTAGCACCGGTACAACCATGGCCGCTTCATCTACCATGTCGCAAACCTCTTCACAGTCCACTTCGTCAGGAGTAAGCAAGTGGTTCTCGGTGGTCCATTAGCCAGACTGTTGGCTTGCGAGTCAGCCAGCAGACTCGACTCACGGCGGAGGATTATGAGATCCTCCAAGCAGAAGAACTTCAGGATGAGTTACAACGGCAATTGGATGAGGCACAGAGAGGAGAAGGAGAGCAATCATGAGGAAAGCTAGACTAGGTAGTAGGAGAGAGGAGCTAGGCAGACTGGAAGCATTAGATGAGTCATCGCTTGACCTTGCGATACGAGCGCTGCGTAACTCGCTTCTTTGTGTGGCGGAAGCGCAGGCTGTCCAGCAGGAAGTGTTGGCTGAACAAATGGCAGGCCAAAAGGCGATTCTTGCTGCAGTACGGACTCCTCGTCCCACGATGAGGCAGCCTCCGTATGCTATAGCTCCCCCTTCAGGTGCAGGTCCATCAATGACGCTGCCACCGGTAGGGCCTCCGTTTTCACCTATGTTTGGCATGCCCCCTCCAGGAGGTTTAGTAGCAACTAGTGGTCCGGTTCAGAGAGTCTCATCCGTACCATCGACAACAGTGGTTACTACAGTTCCACTGTCAAGTTCGGCCCAGGTTAGTGTGCAACAACCTGTTTTGGTGACTATGCAGCCACTACAGCAAGCCCCTGGGCCCATGCAGCCTATGCAGGGGATGCCCCAAATACCCTTGCTGAGTCCTAAGCCCTTCTCCGACGACAGGAAGAAGGACGAGGATTTGGATACCTGGGTAAGGACGGTGCCTACTTATGTGAGGCACAAGCTTACCAGGCCAGAGCAGGAAGTTGTTGTGGCTGCCTCCTTTTTAGAGGGGTCAGCAGCTCGTTGGTTGAATGGCCTAGTGCAGCAGCAGGGCTACGGTTAGAACTTCGATGCCTGGGCCCAGGCCCAGACATTGGAACAGTTTGTACAATCCGTGTACAACAGGTGGCATAACCCGCAAGGGGCTCAAAAGGCCACTGCCGTATCAACAGTCTTTGTGTCAGACGGTACAAGAATGTTAGAGAGTTGACGGACACTGTAGAACGTCTGCTCGTGGTACCTGGTGTGCGCTACGACCAGCAGGTACTCCTCACGGATTACCTTAGATGTCTGCCTTCAGAGGTAAGGACAAAGCTGGTAGATGAGGCTTATGTCGATCAGCACAACTTCGCCTCTTTCAGCAAGAAAGCCTTAGACATAGAGGCAAAGTTGGGATCCGCGCATCAGAGTCAGGGCGATGGTAGGAAGAAGAGGCTACCCCAAGACTGGAAGAAGAAAGGTCAACTAATGTTCGTCGACCACGATGGTCAGGCGACAAAAATAAACGACTTCCCAGACCTTGGGGAGGAGACAAAGCATGATGGGGCTGGTGAGACTTCGGATGGGGGAGTCGTGGCACCCATCAAGGAAAAGGCTAGGGGGACCGGGAAAAATAAGGTAGTACGGTCCACGGGTCAGGGAGACCAAGGAACACCCGCATGGGTAAAACTTGGTTTACAGTACGAGGTGTGGAGGGACTGAGTTGCTAGGGGCACGTGTATGAACTGTGGCAACTATGGCCACACGTCTCGAACGTGTCGAGGCAAGAAAGTCCTGACGAGGGTAGCCTCACCAATGGTGGTGGGACTATCTTCGAACTCTGGGGGTGCTTCTGCGAGCACTTCACACGGAAACACCTCGGGCCAATAGGAGTTTTAGCCGCTCTTACTCACTCTTAAGTGGTAATGTTGCCTTCCCCACTTCTGGCGTTGGTCAAGGCTAGTGACCCACGCATCGCCCCGCAGACACATTCAGACCCACCGACGCTCTGTTCGAGAGACGTGTTTGAGGCCCTAGAAGAGTTAAAGACTGAGTGGTTAGGGAAGGACCCCAGGGACTCTTGGGCGATGATTAGTAAAGGTCCAAAGGGTGAACATTTCGTGGTAGAGGTTGATATAGGTGGCCGCAAAGTTGGCGCCTTCGCGGACATAGGCTATACACGGAACTTCATCAGTCGTGCTTGTGTGGATAGACTGCCCTTAGGGGACCAAGTGCAACGGCTTAGCTGAATTGTAGCTTTTACGCTGGCCAACAAGCACCAAATGTTGGTAAAAGACTATGTCAAGGACGTAGTTTGCACCTTCTCCTATGGAGGAGGGGAAGTGAGCCATAAGATCTCCTTCCTGGTTAGCGACGAACTGCCCTTTGATATGCTCTTAGGTGTGTACTACCTCAAGGTCGCGCAACCTCAGTTTGACTGGGATAGAAAGGTGTTGATCCACAAATTGCCCCATGGTAGAACTGCTAGATTGCAAAAGTACAAAGCTAGCAGTCTGATAGAAAACTACTGGTGCATGTATGCATCATCTTTCTATAACTACTATAAGCAGAATCGCGAGAAGGGCATGTACTTAGTATTTATCTCTGAGAAAGGGGAGGCCGTAAAAACACCCCCAGAGATAGAATCAGTCGTCGCTCAATATTCAGACCTTTTTGAGGAACCCACAATCGTGGTAGAAAGGGAGGTTGTCCATGAAATAGAGGTTGTCCCAGGTATCGAAGAAGAGAGGTACCTTGAGGATGTGCATTGACTATAGGGGCCTCAATGCCATCACTGTCGCGGAGCCCCTACCCCGCATCGACGACCTCTTGGATAGAGTGCAAGGATGCCGGTACTTCACCAAGATAGATCTAAAGTCCGGATACCATCAAATTGCCATTAGGCCAGAGGATCAGCACAAAACCGCATTTCAGACCAGGTACGGTCTGTACGAGTTTGTGGTGATGCCCTTTGGACTATGTAATGCACCTGGTACGTTCTCGCACGCGATGAAGTAGACAAGTTTATCGTCGTGTACCTCGACGATATTCTCATCTTTAGTAGGACTGTAGAGGAGCATGCTGAGCACTTGAAAACAATGCTAGGCCTCCTAAGACAGCACCGGTACAAGGTTAACTTGGAGAAATGCTAGTTTGGTCGCACCAAGATCTTGTACTTGGGTCATGAAATCTCAGCAGATGGACTTGAGGCCGGACGACGCCAAGGTGGCCAACATACGTGACTGGCCTAGACCTCAGACTGTTACTGAGGTCAGATCGTTTTTGGGGATGACGGGCTACCATCGTCCGTTTGTGAAGAACTATAGTACTATAGCTTCCCCATTAACGGATCTAACTCGACTGGACACCCCTTGGGAGTGGACTGAAGAGTGTGAGGCGGCCTTCAGGAACCTGAAGTATGCTCTGACACACTATGAGGTTGTTAAACTTCATGATCCTGATAAGCCATTTGTCGTGACTACATACGCCAGCCAATATGGCATTGGCGCAGTCCTTGCGCAAAAGGAGGGGCCCAAGTTGAGACCTATCGAGTATATGAGCAAAAAAATGCCATCTCAAAAACTAGCTAAGTCCACTTATGAGCATGAGCTCTATGCTCTGTATAGAGCGCTGGTTCATTGAAGACATTATCTCCTAGGGAGATTCTTCTATGTGAGATCTGACCATGAAACCTTGTGCTCGATCAAGACACAACCCGTCCTCTCTGATGCACTCAAGAGATGGATACAAGTGATAGACATGTATGACTATCAACTTGATCCAATCAAGGAAGAGTACAACAAAGTGGCTTATGCGTTATCTCGTCGGGCAAATTATCTGGGGGCGTTAGTTACAAAATTTGGCATATCTAGCGATCTAACTCGATCATGGTGGACCCCTATCAGCAAGATCCAGTTATGTCTGAGATCATCCGTAGATTCCAAGCAAAGGACAAAAAGACTTTGGACGAATTCACGATGGTAGACGGCTTGCTGTTTCTTGAGAAGGTAGGGAATAAAAGGTTGTGTGTTCCCAGTAGTGAGTCGTTGCGTAGTTTATTTTTAGGAGAATGCCATGATGCAACTGGTCATTTTAGATACAAGAAGACATCAGCGAACTTCGTACAGAGATTACGGTGGCCCTCTATGATGCTAGATGCAAAACGCTATGTTGAAACCTGCCAGGTTTGCCAAAGGGACAAACCAAGGACTCAGGCTCCGCTTGGGCTGATCAAGCCCTTGCCGATCCCTGAAGGACCAGGTCAGAGTGTGTCTATGGATTTTATGGATACCCTTGTGACCAGAAGGTCTGGAAAGAGACACATCTTTGTTATAGTGGATCGTTTTTCTAAGTATGTCAAACTGATCGCTATGCCTGAAAGTGCTAAAACTGACTATGTCATCAAATTGTTTATGGATAATTGGGTACGAGATTTCGGCTTGCCTACATCCATCGTTAGTGATAGGGATGTGAGATTCACAAGTGAACTGTGGCAATCGACTGCTGAACAGATGGGCACAAAACTCCAAATGACCTCAGGGACTCACCCTGAGTCAAATGGCCAGGCAGAACAGATGAACCGAGTAGTACAGCACCTGCTTCGGCATTATATTAAGCCAAGTCAGGATGACTGGGATGAGAAGTTACCTCTCGTCGCCAGCCTGTACAACAATGCTGTGCATAGTACTACCGGTATGAAGTTACATCTTGGTTGGAAGCCCTGAACTGAACTTGACTTGCTGCTACCAGAAAGACAACCCACTGCAGCACCTGGCAGCATAGACTTTGCTGTCAAATATGAATAGATGCTGCAGCAGGCCGTTGAAAATATTAGGAAGTCGCAGGATGCTCACATGTGGTTAACGGGGACCCCCCAGTTTCAGCTCCTGAGTAACAGGTCCAAAACTGAAATTAGGCTTTGGGGGTGAAATTTTATGTTTCTTTGTTTTTTCTTTTTTGCCTGTTTTTGTCTTACTTCAAGGTTGTTGTGTACCAAATTTGGTCTCATTTGGAGCATTGGAATTTCCTCTGATAAGACCATTTCCAAAAACGCTGAAAATTCTGAAAATTTGTTGAATCAAAAATGTCATTCAAGTGCCTTTTTGCTTTACTGTTTCACCCTGTTTTTATTTTATTTTTTCGTTTTTTTTCTAATGGTTTGTTAATATGGTGTGCACTCTATGGAATGATGCAATGTTTGGTTAAAAAGGGCTTCTGTTTTTTTTTAATAAATTGCATTAAAAAAACGCTGAAATTTTAGGTCTCCGTTAACCGTCTCTCAGGATGCTATGATCGCATCGGAGAATAAACATAGACGACCCTCCAACTTTCTGGGTACAGTCATCTGAACTAGGTCAGGAGATGGGGACATCACGAAAACTGATGCCACAATACTTGGCTCCCCGAGAGATCTTAGACATTCTAGGCAATCAACCGGATGGGCCTTCATATGTGATTCGTATTCCTGCACACTTACACACTTGCCTCCAAGTCGGCACCTTTCGCTGCCACTGATCCTTCAAGACGATCAATGCTGCCCCCAACCATGGATGGTGAGGTGGACGTTGACCAGACTGTGGAGCATCGAGTGATGCCTGTTTCTCGACCATCAGGCAGAGGCCGCCCTCCTAAACCGAGAATGCAATATCATGTGAGATTCAGACATCATGTGAATCCCAAGGAAGATCTCTGGTTCACACGAGAAGAACTCCTGAGAACAGCTCCGCAAGTGATCGCGGGCTATGAAAGAGAACTAAAAGGGAAAATGCCTGCAGAATAAGAGACTTCTCAGAGGACTAACGAAGTAAAGGAGGAGGGAATGCGAGGATTTGTGTCCTCGGCAGGCCTAAGGGGCCCCGGTTGCAGTGGTGCCCGCCCTAAGTGAAGGCGGGCCTAACTTGTCACAAGAGGCCTTTGACTGTCAATTTCATATTTGGGGTCTAGGCAGTTGCGGCGCGCTAGTTGGTTGAGAGAAACGCAGGCCGAGCAACAAAGACATTTCCAGGGCCTACCGGGCTTTTCGAAAGAATGCAGACCCTGGGCGTGATTCGCAGCCTCATATACTGACAGTTGGGAGGCCCAACCGAACAAGACTCAGTAGCTGCAGCGCAAAGGCAACATCCTCGAGCCTTCTGGAAGCTTCGGGGACCAGGCCAGGATAGCCAGGCTGCACGAGCAGGCCAACTCTTTCCATAAAGGAAAGAGCTCTCCCCAGGCAGCCTTATTCGGTCACTTGCTGGTTGGCGGCAGCGCTGCTGGAGCGATAGCTCGCGGGCTGGCTACTGGGATTGGAGCAAGAGGCTGCACACGTGCGGTCGTGTGTTGAAGCAGGGCGCTGCTGAGGGCAGCGCCATAGCCAGCCTTCATAGCGGGCTGGGCTTGGATGTACAGTGAGGCGCAGGGGTGGTCTTCGGGTGTAAGAGAGGACATGCGTGGGTGTAAAGTCAGGGAAGGGCGAAGGATGATGATGATGACGATGATGTGAGGGCACATACCGTGTATTGGCGATGGTCTGCATTTGGGCGACATCTTAAAGTACTTCGGGTTGCCGCTGATGTCAACAGTTGCTTTGTCTATTAGTAGGCTGATCGTAGTTGTATAGGAGTAGGCTGGGCGCTGAGCGCCAAGTAGGAGTGTGAAGGGACTGGACTCTTGTGTTGTGGCGGAGAGAGAAGCTCTCCTTGACATTGGTTTTCAGTACTACGAACCTCCATTGGTATATTATTGGTGCAACGCTGCTCTCTGGGCACAGTGTGACTATCTGGCTTTCAATGTGATGATGTAATCTGGAATTTGTCATCTCGCTGTTGCTTATTTTCCTTGCATAAAAAAAAGAACAGAAAATTTCGACCACATTTAGTTACCCCCATGGGGTCAAAATGTGTGCCGAAAGCAAGAATGACTAATCTCCTAATCAGATTTGAGGGTGCCGCAAAGAAATTCGAATTAAAAAAAAAATAAAAAAATAAAGAAATAAATCAGAAAATGAGAAAAGAAGGTGGGGAATAAGATAATTCAAAATTTTGGAAAGAGGAAATATAAATCAAAAGAAAGATTAAAAAAAAGAAAAACAGAAAATTTTCAAAGTTGGTGGGGAGGGGGGATGAAAAAGTAAAAGAAAAGAGAGAAATAAGTGAGAAAGAGAAAAAGAGTGAAGGGGGAGATAGGGGAAATGATGGGGTTGTAGTTAGAGGGGAGAGGGAGGGAGAGGAGGGTGGTAGAATGGGAGAGAAGGATACAAAAAAGGAGGAGAGGAGTAGATGAGATTAGTAGAAGATGGTGAGTGGGGAGGAGAGGAGAGAAAAAGGTTGTGGAAGATGAGGGAGGTAGGAGGAGAGAGTATTGGTAGGGTTAGAAATGATGATTAATGGGGGGGGAAGAGAGAAAAGAGGTTGGGCGAGAGTGGGTTAGTGGTACGATGGTGATATCAAGTTCTTGCGTGACCAAGAGCAGAGCACTACCAAGATCCCCAGGATCTTCGCCTTCAAGTTGTTGCTGGCCTGATGCCACTGCAATAAAAAAAATTGGGGTGGGCTAAGATCTTGATCAGCCACCCAGATGTCACTGTAGTGCAGCCCCCTAGCCAGGGGGGTCTTCAAGATCCACAACAAGCTGCCACGTGGCACT